CCCTACCCAGAGAAGCAGTGATGCCTGAAATGGAGCCAGAGATGATGACGTGGAGCGATGGAGCAGCTGCAGACTTTAGATCCAGAGAGAGAGAGAGCGCGACTGTGTGCTGAAGACCTGAGGGGCATGGGGGAAGAATTGCATGGAGGGGATTGTAACCATGGCAATGAGAGGATATACGATAGAATGAATGTAAAAACTAATGTTCTCCCATGTAAACTATCACATAATTCACAATAAAACATTTAAGATAAAAAAAAGCTAATTCAAAGATCCATATGGTGACAGTAACCATTTGACTTTGTAGTATCACACATACTTCTGTCTGTATCTATATTTTTCAGTACCTCCAAATAACTGATATTTATTAATGATACATTCATATACCTCAACAAGATACAGTACCATCATACTCAGACAGTCCTGGTGTTGGTGCTGTAGGATAAGCACTAGACTGTTTATTCACAAGGTTGGTAGCTTAAACCCACCAACCGCTCCTTAGAAACCATATACAGAGTTGCTTTGAGTTGGAACCCGCTTGATGGCACACAACCACCACACTCTTCTTGGAATGCTGGTGTGGTGCTGTAGGATAAGCACTGGATTGCTAACTGCAAGGTCAACAGTTCAAACCCAAAAGCCACTCTTTAGAAACCCTATATATACACTTAACAACAACACCTCCCCCCCATTTACCTTCACCTGGCTTTCATTACTTAAACTCCTTTCCTATAACCTTGTGTTTGCTTTTAAAGGCAAATGAATCACGCCGTTATTCCACATTTCTCCCTATAAAACCTAACAAACAGCACAGCAGAGCCATCGTGGAAGTTACTGAAGATTTTGTTTCACAGTAATGGCTCAGACTACAGTCAGACCTGCAGTGAATACAATCCTCCAAGGAATGGTCAACACATGTGAGGGATTCATTATTATAGAACGTGCAGTATTTTTTTCTTTCAGGTCATGTCAAAGACATGTTCATATAATTTATGTCTAGAGGTCCTTTCATTCAAGAAGCTTAAATCCACCTAATCTTAAAAAATAATGCATTATCACTTACAGATAAACTGCTTAAGGGCTTAGCTGCAGTAGCCAAGTCAGTAGGCAAGGCCACAGCTGTACAACATGTGAGAATGCCTGGGGTGCAGCTTTAATTCAGACACCCTTTCTCTGGCAGGTTTCTATCTGTATGTACACACCTGCCCTCTAAGTCGAGCTGTTGACTCAGATCTTAAGGGAGGCAATGACCTATATGGGACTGCTACACTCTACAGAGGAAAAAATGGGAGACCCCAATAAGTATTCCTACCCATGCCATATGGCTGAGCCTGGCCCAGAGCCAGCTCAATAGGTTTATAGGTGATGTCCACTTCCTGCATCTCTTCTTCCTCTTCAGGCCCTCCCAAGCATGGCACAGGTCTCTAAGACTAAGCTGAGTCATGTTTCCTGATTTTTTTTTCCCATAGCAGCTTGCTCTCAACCAAGCTGTTCCTTTTCAATTACAAGTCAATAACTAACAGGCATTAATGGGCACACATGGAACACCTGTGTAAACTTTTATATTTAAGATCTCTGAAGTTAAAAATAAGAAGGCTCTTTTTATTCATTTCTCAAGCTTAATGATGTTTGTATCCCCTTAAGAACTTTTTCTATGTTAGTGATTTTTTCATCTTTGATTTCTTGTCTTCTAAAAAGGATCCACCACTTACTTCATACTATACTACAACCTGGAAGCCCTCAAATCAATGGTAGATATTCAAACAATAGACTTAAGAAGCTCTCAATCTCAAGCAGCTTTAAAATGACGACAAAATCATTCTGATTATATAATCACTGGGGTATTTACTGCATTTTGCCTTTTACTGCTGTTTTCTAATGAAAGGGAAGCAGCAGCACTAATGATCCGATAAAAAGAAATCCATTCTCTCAGAGCAGCTGATGCTGTTGGTTCTATTGATTTGCCAAGCTTTTTGCTTGATACCAATTCTAGGTTTGAGAGCTATGAAACAGTCACACTGCAATACTAACCCAGAATATTTACAAAGGCATGCTGAGCAGATGGCACTTACTTATAGCTTCGGAAGTGAATCTTCCCATTCAGTGCCGTGAAGTGCAGAACATACTCTAAACCGGCCAGGCGGATATTTGATACCGTGGGACCTCTGAAGAAATCTAAATGCATAAAGATAAAACGTTTGTTTGTTTTTTTTTAATTAAAAAGACCAAACACTTTAACAATCCAACTATAAAGTGCTACATTTAATAAGAAATGCTTGAAAGTCCCCACCCCACAACACTTCTAACACTTAATTTCACTTTATTTCTGTTTACTTAAAACCTAATTTTTCAGACCTGAAAAAGCCAGATAATTTTTCAGTTTTGAAGTTCTTCTCCCTCTAAATCAATGCTATCATGTTGTTAAGTGTCAACTCATAGCTGGTGGGTTTGAAAAGCTGACCTGGTGCTTAGCAGCACAGTGCTGATCCTACAGCGTCACACCAGGAGCACATATTTATCATATGATAGCACACAGCTGTATAGAAGCACTTACTCAATATTCATAGAATTTTTAAATTAAAATGACTGCTCAAACTCTATTAAAATAAAACGAAAAATCAACTTGGAATCCTGGTGTGGTGCTGTGGGTTAATGTGCTGGACAGCAAAGTCAGTTTGAACCACAAGGCCAGCAGTTCAAGTTCACTAGTCGCTCCCCAGAAACCCTATACAGAGTCTCTCTATGGATAGGAACTGACTCGACAGAACTTAACAACAATAACCCTATCATAGAATTGATAACTTCTTAAGTCAATAAAATTTTAACATGAAATTTCAAACTATGCACGTAAATGGGTGAGCAGGGTGTTTTCCCGCCATGTGGTCATCATGCCACTCCCAAGTGACACCAATGAATGACTTTAGGCGATGCACGGACAAATAAAATTTATTTCCTTTTAAGAAGAGAAGAGTCAATTTAAAGAAAAATCTCCATTGAACAACACTATAGATACAATGTGGGTTTACTTAAAGTCATGATTCTTAAAGTGGTACATGAATGAAAGAAATTTGGAAACCCACAATCAAGACTGATCCCCCGTATTTTATAGCTGAGAAAACAGAACCCCAAAGAGGCTAAATGGAAATACATGAATAGCATTTAACTACCAAAGGATTATAAATAAAAGTACATTTAACTTAATTACTTAAGAACTACCCCAAGGCAGCTAACGTGAGAATCAAGAAATTTTTTGCCCCAATCTGTACCAGCCAGGATTTCTCTTTCCTCTTTCCCTGAGTCCATCATACAATGGGGTTCAATTTCAAATGTATGACTACATGCATCCTCTGTTGTTTTCTTTTAAAATTTTTACTGTGGTAAAATACATGTAACAAAACATTTGCCATTTTAACCACTGAAGTGTATAATTCAGTGACATTAATTATATTCAGTGCGCTGTGCAACCATCACTATCCATTCCCAAATGTTTTTCATTGTCTCAAACAGAAACTTAATGCCCTCTTAAGCAATAACTCCCTGCTCCACCCCCAGATAACCACTAATACACTTTTGTCTCTACTCATTTGTCTAGTCTAGGGATTTCATGAGACTATACAGTACTTCTCCTTTTGTGACTAAATCACTCAGAATGCTTTCAAAGTTCATCCATCACATTTACAAGAACTTAATTTCTCTATATGATTGAATAATATTCCATTGTATGTATATACCACATTTAGTTCACCTTGGATTGTTTCCATTTTTGGTGAATAATAATCCAAGGCAAGTTTTGGTGAATTGCCTATGATAAATAATGATGAAAAGAACATTGTTGTACAGGGATCTGTTTGTGTGCTTCTTTTCAATTCTTTGGGGTATATACCTAGAAGTGGAATTACTGGGTCATACGGTTTTTTTGGTTTTTGGTTTTTTTTATTGGAAAAAGAAAAGATACCACTTTTTATGTTTCAAAATACAGTCTTTCATGGATGAAACAGAAAAAAATATTTTTAAATATGACTCTGTAATTGTCAAGCAGTATATCTTCCCAAACACTATAGAATCTTCTGCTCTTACAAGCCCAGGAGAATAATAAAGATACCATTCTAAGAACAGACTTTGGCAACCATAAAAATACACACATGTGGGGGAAGGTAAGGTCATCAATGAATAGTTTTCATCATGTCTAGATGGTTTTGGTGAAAAGAGACGGAGATAAGAGTCTTATGATTCAACAATGAGTTATTTTTATCATGACTGACAGTCACAACTAAAAAGGTAGCAGTTTTGTAACAAAAATGGGGTAGTAGTTAAACTTACAGTCCAGGAACAGAGGACCCCATCCTGGGAAGGAGTGACACCAGGAATGGAGGCAGACATGAAGACATGGAGAGACGGAGCAGCTGAGGACTCTAGACTCATGGAAAGAGAGGGACGTGGGTGCTGGTGGCCAGGAGGCAGGCTTGAAGAATGTGCCCTTTGGTTGTTTAAATTATTATATATTTCTGAGTGTTTCTGTATACATACCTCCCCCACCCCTAAAAAACAAGAGGGAATATAAGCAAATACTGTTGAATGATGATCCATGTAGGAGATCGTAATCATATAATACCAATTATGTGAGCAAGTCAGTTGACTCTCACATAATACCAATTCTGTGGAAATGCCACCCTGGTTCCCTTCTGGGCACATCTTGAATATAGGGCGTTATGGACTTTCCAACCCAATCATGCATTTCCATAGTGTTTGCGATAATGATGGTGGTAGCAGTTGGGTGTGGTTCCTTGCTGCCAACTCCTTCTGCCACTGTGGATGGGAACCTTGCTCTGTCTGAGCCCCACAGCTCTACATAGTTCCCCTTACGCTCCACTCTGCCAACTCCCCCACAAACTTCCAAGCACCTTTAGGACCTCACCCAGACTTCCCTTGTCCACATGTAATGTCTTGTCATCCTGTCATTGACTTGCATGCTCTATGGCCAAACCAAGGCATTGTAGATGAATGGGAGAAGTATGGTCTGCTAACAATTTTCACTTGGGGCAGCCGTCACCAGGACGTCTATTACATAATTTAGGGTAGCCTCCAGAAGGTTTCCTTGGCCTAGCTGTGACCTGAGTCTGGTTGCATACTCATATGTACTTTTGTTTTTAACTTTTAGAGGACTCCGCCAAACGTTTTCCACAGCTGTTTTCCTTTTCTCATGGTTGACTAAAGAAAATTTCATTAGTATGTGATATATTATAGATGCAAGTAAGAATACCTATGTATATCTACCCTTCTCTACTCACACAAAACCAAACCTCCTCAGGGACATTGTTACAAATCAACTTTGTACTTTTTCAAGGTATTTTGATCTAAGTATCAAAATTAGCAAAGAGGTCTCCCATGATTAGCCCCCTCACTGTGGTAGCATTATTGAACTCAAGTTCTGAGGAACAAGTTACGTGCATTCCGGTCTGCTCTGAAATTGCATGTATTATGTAAAACTTTCCAGAAATATGTGTGTTTCCCATTAGCTTTTAAGAATGAGATGAAAGGAGAAAGTTTAAAGAGCAAAGTAAGCACAAGGAAAAGTAGTCTTTACTAGGTCCAATTTTCTAAGATGAATAAAAAAGAGCTTTCCTGTATCCAATAGTACTAATCAGTCATCCTGTTATGCCAACATTTTCCTTTAACCACCAAATTGAAACGTTACTAAAGTCCACAAAGCATCAAGATAACACAAACATAAACAATGAAAAAGGTTTGAGAAAAAGGGACTAGCAATCTAATTGGCACAAATGGCAGTACTCAGCAGTCCAAAAGCAAATATGTCTAACAGCATGATATTTTCTGAGGTTAAAAAAGGACAAAGTATGGCTAACATATGAAGACTGTTGGCAAGAATTCATTCACTTAACAAATGTGTACTAAAGCACCTATTACGCACAAAGCAATGTGCCAGGTGTGATGGGTTATGTAAATGACACACAGCCCCACTCTACCAAAGACCCAGATTCTAAGACAAATAAATACAAACAACTGTTATTTATGGCAGCAAACTGAGAGGAGAGCCACATAGAAGAAATGTTCTGGATGTCCTGAGGAAGAGAGATCATTCTTAGTTGAGGAAGGCTTCAAGGAAGTAGTATTCTAACTCACGAGCCACTCCTTGGAAACCCTATACAAGGTCACTATGAGTTGCAACCCACTTGATGTTACGTAACGATAACATGCATAAGAAATGATTAGAGTGGAACAGAAGTGAAATTGGGAGTCAAATGCAAAGATTATGCATAGGTTAGATGAGCATCAAATACAACTTTGCTGTGAGAGTGACTGATGGAAGAATGAGACAGGGAATTCAGGCAAGACTGTCCAGTAGGCTCCTGGCAGTTTAAGATCAGGAGCTCCAGAAAGATGTCCAGGCTAGAGTGTCAATATGGAATGGTTACAGTAGTGGTTAAGCAGATGAGCTTTGTAAAGCAAGGCTGGCAAAAAAGATCAATATATAAAAGGCTACTATGTATTAGCGTAGTGGTTACGAATTGGGCTGCGAGCCTCAAGGTCAGCAGTTTGAAACTACCAGCTGTTCCGCGGGAGAAAGATGGGGCTTTCTGCTCCCATAAAAATTTACAGCCTCGGAAACCCTGTACAGGGTCGCTATGAGT